TGCTCCCCTGGTGCCACAGCACCATGCAACAGTGAATTCGCTGGCCTGGGAAGAGGCACTGGATCAGCTGCTCTGTTTTTGTTGTTGTTTTGGATGGTTGGGGTGTTTGTAGAGTAAAGATGAGGGTTTTTTGAAATGAAGTTTTAAAGAGTCTCTCCAAAATCATTTCAGGGTGCAATTTCTTCCAGACAAGTTGGCACACATCTGTGTCTCCATGAAAGATACTGTAAATATTGCATCCTGAGCTGGGGATGTGCCCTCCCCTTCACCCCAGAGTACCAGACTATGTATAGTGCATATTATATATATTATAGGTACAAATAGTATTTTACAATACGGGTGGAAGGACTCTTTTCTCCAAATGGTTTGCAATCAAAACTAAAAAGAAGTTTAACCCATACTTTTAATTAGCTCTCAGAAGAACAGATAATGTTTGGAAGACTCACAGTTTTACAGAACGTCACTTCAAAAGGAATTCAGCCCCCAAGCCCACTGAAGCCAGTTGCGGGACTTTTGTTACTAATTTCAGTGGGATCAGAAGATGGCCCCTCATGCAGGAGTTATGCTTGCACACTACTACAGAAATACAGCAGCACTTGGGATGCGAGCAAAATTCTCATGGGCCATTGTATGGAATCATATCTGTAATACAAAAAAGGATCTCAGAACTGGAACCCTGCTGTTTCTCTTCTATTCTCCCACTCCACTGTGCTCTCCTTTGCTGACTACCAGGAAGAGAACTGGCTCTCCCTTACTCAGCTGACCTCAGATCCTTCCCGGGACATAAACAGTGTGGGATCAGATGTATTGTGTCAGGATCTCCAGATAAAAACAAACGAGGTTACTGCCTAGGAAGATAAAGAATTTAAAAACTGACCTACTTGACATTGGCTGCACACGTAGCAGTCCCTATTCATGAACCAAAATTCCTTGCCAGCTCTGTTCACCGAAACATTTGGCATGCTGCAATAACAACAAACTCCTGTTGTGCAGGAAAAGATCACCTCTCTGCCGCCATTTTAAGTACTGTAGGAGGTTTTTAGTCTGTGATGCCCCATGTTGTTTTCTAGACTCCCTTCCCAAATACTGGTAAAATGGGGAATCCTACAGAGAATTTCAAATCAATCAAAATGGTTCTGCCCTGTGCGGGCAGCCTGTCACATCCCCCAGCAGACGTCTTCAGTTGGATTGCTAGAAGGACAAGAGGCTATCCTGATCTTTGCTGGTCCCTACAGATAATGCACACGGCCATTCTGCAAGAAGGGCTCCATGCCACCACGCCACAGGGGCGATCCCATTGCCTCAGCTGAACTGAAGTGCCACAAGCAGCCGCCTCACTTCAGACTCATCAGAGGTGACTCACGGTGTGTTCCTACTCTTCATGTTTATCTCATTTGGAAGCAGTGCTTCCCACACATCTGCAGGGAAGCCGCTTTCCCAGAGGGATCTCAGGGAAGGCAGGTCACTCCTGCGTGTTCTGTTAGCCCTTGGGTCAGAGCAGGAGCCCTGCCATCAATGCAGGCAGCTGCAGTGTCATTAGCCACACAACTTCAGCCGCGTTATCAATTACCTGGATTATCTGTGCTGCAGTCTCCGGCGTTCCTTGCCTCAAATCCTGGCCATTTATAGACAGGACTCTGTCATTCCGACTCAGCTTTCCATTTTTGGCTGCCAAACCTCCCTCTAACAAATCTAGAATAAAAATCCCTGCCTCATCCGTCTTCCTGATCAGTTTGATTCCCAAGGGTTCAGACCGGTCTCTCTTGACCAAGGTGACATGGATCACTTCCCGGTTAGTAGCAGAAGTGGAATCCTGCTGTGCAGTCTTATTGGAAAATCCCTTCTCCTGCAGGACCATGAGGTGGAGAATAGGACCTGGGTGGCGCAGGAAGGAGACAGCCTGGCAGTGAGTCACACTGCTGATGTTGACACCATTCACCTAGAAAGACAAACAAAGCAGAGTCCCTCATCAGAAGCTCCATAATTTAGGCACTCTCTGCAGCACAAAACAGCACAGAGCTGGAGGCAGGATGTACAACTCCCTGTGCGGTGCCGCAACTGAAGCGGCTGCTGCAAGCACACATTAGAGAGCAGAGCTTTCTAAAACAGAATGCAGAAGAAAGCAGATGAAATAAGGCCATCGGTGATGGCAAACAGCTGAGCAGTGGTGAGACCAGACAACACAGCTAACAAATCTGAAACTGCAAAATACGAACTGATGGCATCTGTGAACTGCTTTCCGCTAACTTCCAGAATTCAATGCACACTTGGAGGAGAAAAGCCAAATGGGAGACTGCCCATCCTCACTCGAAGAGTGGCCCACCATCTGCACAACAGCTGGAACCATCACCCTAACCACGCTGTTACCAAGGTAACCCTGAGAAGCTAACGTTCACTTTGTTGTCACATGAGACTCTGTAGGGTCCCTTTAGGATATTGGTCAGGCTGCCAAGTGTGGGGAGCTGCCCTGTGTACAGCCCAGTCAGGATGGAGAGGCGTGCAGGTAGACTGGCCAACGTGCAAGGTACGCTGCTGGGCTGAGAAAGGAACCAGCTGGGAGATCGCATCGGCCACTCGTGCGTGAGGCTGCCAGTCATTACTGATGCCCGCAGTCCAGCAGGGTAATTAGGTCTTTATGGCTCGCCAAATGATTGGGCAGCCACAGCCGGGAGGCACTAACAGTTTTCACTGCTTGTAGCCAAGCTGCTGCAGCCTCAGTTAGCATGCTACAACACAGCACAATGCAGTCTGGTTAATCTCAGTGGGGCAGCAGGGTACAGGGCTGGTGCTCCTCATCATCCACTTTCTATACATGATGCTGACTTCAAGTTATTAAGGAAATGCAGCTTAAGCAACATAGCAGAGCAAGTAGCTAAGACTTCCTAGCTAGAGCACGGTCCACTGGAGAAAAATGGTGCTACTGGGTGAAGTTTATCAGGTAAAGATCTTTTTCCTTGATCCAAAATTGTCTGAATTCCAAAAACTCAAGGGAACAGAAGGACCCGCAAATGTACTTCTGAGCCCCAGGAGAAACACAATGCTACTAGTAATGTCTGATCAGTGCTTTAAAAACCCTATCTGTAGAGATTTCCCAATTTTCTAGGCAACTCTGCCTGCTGACCCCTTATCTCAAGCCAAGAGAAGCAATGGGACGATCGGGGGGTTGCATACCTCCAGAATGTGGTCCCCAGGTGCTATCCTTCCATCTGCAGCAATGAGAGAATCCCGCAAGACTTCCTGAACAACGATGTTTCCTAGCGGGGTGTCCTTACCCCCAACTATCCTCATGCCCAGCTCTTCCTCTGGGTCTTCTCGGTGAATCTCAATTGTGCTCGTTTCAGCCACAAGACTCGCTCTCTGAGGAAGGTCTGGTTGGGGAAATTGAAGAGAAAAAACAACACATGAGCAGGATCTTACCCACATACCACAAGATCTGTAATACTGGCAGGTTGTGTTCAAAAGTAGCATCTGGATGGAAAGGAAGAGAAAGCAGCTATCAGGAGAGGACAGGCTAGGTCAGATTGAGAGCTAAAAAGCTCCTATTTTTCTGGTTTCTCCAGTGTTTCTCCTCTTCTAGCTTATGGCAAAGTTAGACTGACTGCTATTTCTTGCATTTTATTAAAGGGCATTCAGAGCGTTTCACTTAGCATTCAGACATTTATTTTTCCTGCTGTGACAGCTGGACTACACACAACTAATCCCCAATTCCACCACACCCATTGGGAAGGGGCACTGCTGAGCTGTAATTACCGGCCTGCCATCGCGGTGACTCTACCACAGGCAGCTCACTGCCATTTCCCTCCTCTAATTTCCTTTCCTCCTTTTTTTTTTCCCATCCTCCCATACACCAGGAGTCATGTTTACCTATTTCACAGCCTCCTGCAGCCTAAGCAATGCTTCTCAGACACTTTGAAGATGAAAGTTGTCAGCAAGTCATTTTAAATCTACCAGCGCCACAGCATTTAGGCAGGCCCAACGCTAAAGGAGCCAAGTAGACTGTGAGGGTGAGCCGCTGCCGTCACACAGGAGGTGCAAAACCTGCCCCAGTATACTTGGGGAAAAGGCCAACGGAGAACTAAACTGACCTCTGTGTCTGCACAGCAGCAGACAAGTTCTCAGCTCCAGCCTCTGCACGCTTGGAAACAGCAAACTTTGAGACAAGGCACCCCGACTTCACGCTCCTGCCTTCTAGCAGGGACGGAGACAAAGGGGTCAATACTGAAAGGGAGGTGGTTCCCTTTATCTGCAGGGCTTTTTATAGCCAACTGCTGATCCAAAACCAGGCGAGGCTATAAAAACACCTTTGCTTTGTACTGTTAGAGAGGTACTGACCACTCCAGGATATCAACTGTATGTTTAACTTTCTTATCAAGATTAAGAAGCTGGAGCATTTCCTAATGGCTAATTATTTGGCTTCTACAAATGCTTTAAATGCTGCATGTTGCCACTGAGCAGGACTGCATTTGTTTTGCAAAGAATCCTGGAAATAGGATTCAGACTCACTGCAGTCTGAGATTCTCTGAATTGTTTCGCACCGATGGGTTTTGTGCTTGTGAGCAGAGCTTTTCGTGCCTGACACGCACGAATGCACCTCCCTTCTCCTCAAGGACACGCGGGGGAACGAGATTATTCCTACAGCTACTGGCAGCTGAACAGCAGTGAGGATAGCTAAGGATGTTGGGGACATCTTCGAAATTGAAGTGTCCAAAGTAGCTACCTCATTTTTATATTGTAGAAGGTAATTACATAATTACACTTCTTTATCAAACTCTCACCTTCTTCGGTCTCCTCAAAAGCTGGATTAACCAGCCCAGGCTCTGCAGTCCCTAGTGACACCACAGCAGCTGCAGAGCTTTCTGCTACCAGCGATGATCCTGCGCTTGGTACCTCTGGTTCTTTGGGCGTGTTCGTCTCCACCTTGACAGGGGGATCCTCCTTCCCTTTGGAAATGGGATTCTTTTTCCGTTGCAGTTCAGATTTGTATTTCTTGAAGCCAGGACACCTGGAGAGAGATTGTCAGTGACACTGAGTGGCTCACCTCTGCCTGCACAGCTAACCCAGCATACACAGGCTCTGACCAGCAAAGACGTGCAAAGAACTACATTCATGAGCTCATCACCTGCAGAGCTTCTATCGCAGACACTAAAAGTCATTCTCATTTTACTTTCAGCTTCTACTTGTGTAGAAGAGCAGGCTTCTTATTCCCTTACTTTCAAAATTATTAAACGTTATATTTTAAGAAGGAGAATGCAATGGGAACTGGACTTTCCCTTGCTAAATATTTACCTGGCAAACTCTCAGCGAAGACAATACCTCTTTTAAAATGTAAGCAAATACTTCACTCTGCACTTCTACAGATGACGACAAACTGTATCTGTATGCAAAGGAAGTGTCTCAAGTTTCAAGCTCAGCACTGAATTAGGCTTTGTTTTTAATGAGTTGGTAACATGGGAGAGCAGCGAGCAAGGCTTGCTTGCTTCTTTTTCTCTGAATGAGACCTGGTCAGACAGCTCTGCACCTCCAGCCCCTGCAGGTGACAGCTCCGCTTGAAGGATTCAGAGCAGTTTGTGCTCCCACCGACCACTCCCCAGACGGAGGCTCGAGGAGTAATTCTGCATTCAAGAAAATGTGCTCTGTATGCATCCGCAGCACAGCTAGCCTGCCTCAGCAAAAACGGGTGAGGAAAAACAAGCTTTTATCAAGGGTACTTATAAAAAGGTAGCAGGTAAGGAGGGTGATGAATTCAAAAGCATCACTTTCAGAGACATGAGTAGTACTGGGTGTTTACCAGAGTCACTTTCCAAATTAAACTCGACTATTTACATTCTGGCTAAACAAGTCTCATCCTGGTATTACTTCCTCTGGTTGTTCCTGGTCATTTATTCCCCAAGCAAGAAGATGACCCTAAAACTTAAAGACAGAAGCTGGTTGATCCACTTGTGCGTGTCCCTCTTAAGATGCTGAGAAATAAATGTACTTTGCAAAGGGCAGAGGAATCCCCCCAAAAAACAAGTTGCTAGATGCTTCTTACCCCTTAAGTCTCCTACTATCAGTTAATCTCATTTAAAAAAAAAAAAAAAAAAGAACACCCAAATCCCAGTGAAATTTTTCCCTTTTTTTTCCTCATTTTTCAATCTAGCCATGCTCACGGCGCATATCCTTGATCTCTTCAGAGCACTCCATCCCTACAGGAGATGCTGAGAACTCTGAAAGGCATACAGGAATGATACAGTTTCCAGCCAGGTCTTTAACGTAAACATTTAAGGGCGCCTCCCTCTTCCATGTTTAACTCGTGCGTCAGAGGGATTAGCAAGTGGCACAAGTTTTCTGATACCCAGACAGATTTATGGAGTGGAGGGGAAGGCTCTGACCCTGCTTGTTTCTGTAGCCCAGCCCAGCTCTGGGCCATGCCCTGCACGACAGCGGCTGCCGGGCAGCCCCATCCCCACAGCCTAAGCATTCGGCCCTGCTGGGCAATGAGAAAGCTCAATTAGGAAAAAAAAAAAAAAAGCTCATTACTGCAAGGACACCGGGAGCCTTCAGGAAAGGAACATCTTCCATCACATCCCCTGGCTCTAACACCGCCTCTCAGCTCGTGGGTACCACAGGTGGGCAGCCGCAAGGGTACGTGCTTGGCCCGAACCATGACGTGTCCCACGTGCTAGCGTTCCCTGTGCACTCGGTGACCTGTTTATAAAACACAGCGCTGCCACAAAAAGCTACAGCACAGCTGAAGGGAAGCAAGCCAGTTGCGTTTCCAGTGCCCACTGAGAGAATGCACCTTGCCAACGAAGGTCTGCTTCCGCCTGCACTACAGCTTGCACTTAGCTCCCTTTCCTGCAATCATTAACTAGGAACAAATGTTCTTCCAGCACCGTGGCAAGAGCTCTTTGTCACCAGCCCTTCTTTTAAAGCTACAAAATTCTGCCTGCCACCAGCTCAGCCAGCAGTGGAACCACCAAAACACGTCTGCTGAGAAGCAGAGAAAAAAAAAGCCTTCCTCTGCACAGGGGAAAAAAAAGAAATGTATTTTTCATTTGCGTCTCTTTCTCAGTAAAAGAAAGAGAGAAGGTAATGGAATTCTAAGTAGGTGATTCAGCAACTGCATAATGTGCAGCTTGGAGGGACTTACATTATTTGGATCAAAGACATATTGCGCATCTTAATTGGACCAATTAAACTGGCAACACTGCATGATCCCTTGCCTCCACAGTGTTGACTTCGTGCCTGTTTTTCTCCTCTGCTCAGTGAAAGAAGGAATAACCGTGTTTGTTCTAATTTCCAGAGTCAGCTGCCCCAGCTCAAGACACAGAAATTTATGCACATTTAATAGGATATGGGTCTGCAGACAGCTCGCCTGCAAGGTAAGGACCTCAGCCTTCACGGCACACGGGAGCTGCCCTCTCTACCCCACAATTACGCCGTCCTCACCCACCCACTTCTCCAGCCTCACCCTCTGCCATCTCTGCTGTCCCACCTTGTCCCAGTTTAGGGACTGTTCTGAGCATGGATCTCTCAGGTCAGAAGCACAAGAGGCAGATGGCATTACACAAACACTGCAAGTGGGTATGCACCTGTTCTGCAGGTGAGCCTCCAGTTCGCAGCGCTGCATCGTCTGCTGGCACTCCGCCTTGAAAGGACAGCTGACAACCAGCTTATCCAGCAGGTTTCGTACTAGGAGGCTGGACTTGTGGCACTGCTGGAAAGAGAGTTTTTTCCGATCCATGGGACAAAAGTTGTACTCCTGCATGAAGTTTTCGAGGCACTTGAAACAGTACGTGTGGCCGCAGGGGGTGTCCATGGGCTGCAGCAGGGGCTGAAGGCAGATGTGGCAAATGAGTTCATCATCCACCTCGTCCTGGAAGTTGTAGAGGTGATTGTCCGGCAAGAGGTGGAACTGGCCGCACTCACAGCAGAGCTCGCCAGCCTGGTACCCCTGCTCTTCTGCTGCGGGGTCAGCCATGATAGCCAGGATGCCGCTCTCTCAGGCCAGCAGGAAGGAAACTTGTCACGCAGCAGCTGTCTGACAGAGTTCCTCTGATGAAAAGAAAAGAGAGAGAGATTTGCAGCTCTCCACGTAGCCAACTGAAAATTAAATAGCACTCCTGCCTTGAACTCCCCCTGGTATCTTCACAGCCACCTCTTAGGGTTCTTCCTTCCAGAGCGACCCTGTGAATGATCAACCCTGGGATCAGTGAATACAGGGACCTGAGTCAGCAAAATGCTTAAGTTTCAATTACTTTGCATGCAACAGTGACACAGGATAGGTAAAACATTGCTAACCCCAGGAACTGGAAAAGCTGAGACAAACACTGTCTGTTCTTGAGGGAGAACACCACAGGGAGAGAGGAAAGGGGAAGAAAATGACTGACTGCTGTTTAAACTGACAAATTTTCTGTAGAGCTTCCCAGATGACACTGAGTATTATTAATTTAAAAGATATGTATGGCAAAATATCACTTCAGGCACTTCTGGTTGTCTGGTTTTATGGTCTGGGTTTTTTGGGGGGTTGGGGATGAGGAAAAAGAAGAGGAAGAAATTTCAAAAGAAAAAAAAATTTACCCATTTCCTTCCTCTCAAGCCCACTCCCTCCAAAAATGTTAGCGTTAACAAAGACTGCATTGTTCCCTACTCATCCATGCCTGTGTGCGCACTGAAACATATTTCCTATGGAAAGAGGCAAGCTTTCTACAGGGGAAAAGCAAAGCAGACAGTCCATGTCATAGCTAGTCATGACATGACCCAAAGGCTTGAGCTTCAGCTTCCTACAGGTGGGAAGAACCAAGTCAGGGACAAACTGAGTTCTTTGCAGCTGCTGCGTTACTGATTTTAAGAATGGTATCTCCAGTCACATTCATTGCCAATCTTGCCTATTGTAATTACATTTTTTTTTATATAAAATTCATCTGAGTTTGCTAGCAGATTACCTACAGGCAGAGACACTGCAGGAAGGATTCCTGCTAACCTAGCTGTGACTTCAATGAAAGAGGCAGCGTGCTGCTAGATGAAGCTAACACTCACTGTTATGCTGCTGTTGTTTTTTTGTGGTCGTGATGGTGATTATTTTGTTTAAGTTCATTAAAAAGCCCACAGCCAAACCCAAAAATAAATCAATAAATAAGTAGGACTGTGATGAAATGGAAAAAAAAATGAAAGACATGGAAAATATCTGAAAAGAGTTGCTTTTTCTGGAACAGGTAAAGGATGAAGCAAGAGCCAACAGCGAGCGCTGGTCTGCACCGGTGCCTGGAGGACACGGCTGGCGTGCAGCAGGAGCTTTGGAGGAGGGTAGGCAAGAACAATAAGATAGCAAGGACGGCAAGAAAAAATTAGTCATGGGTTTCTAATAAAAACCATACATCATTCTGCTTCAATTAACTGTCAAGCATAAACCAGGTAGTTAATTACAAGGATAACACATCACCAACAGAATCAAGCCACTTTACAGGCAAATTTTCCTAGCCATAGAAAGCTGTTCAGTTTGGAAGATGACAACATTACTGTCACGGCTCCAGGTGGGCACAGCGCATGTGCTGTGTGCTTCTCCTGTGGCCGCAGGGCCAGGAAGCATCTTCCCCTCGAGGAAGGCACTTACACTGCCCAGTCTGAGCTCTTCTCTTTGCAGTTACTCCTTAACACACACATCAAAGCAGATGTGCCCTGCCCCTTCAGAAACACCTCTGCTCTTGGGTACTCACCGCAGTCTGACACAGTCAGATACCTCTCCTCTTTTCCTTACAGTAAGTTTCCATCTGATCCTAAATTATCTCCCGAGCGAAAAGGAAACGTTCCCGAGAGCAGACAATCACTTCCCATCACCTACCAATTGTAATCAATCAGCTCAGCACCAGCAGTTAAGCACCAAAGCAAACCCCTACCAATACGAAATACTTGCGCTTCGGGTTGTCGCATTTGCATAAAATTTTGGCAGATGATGAAACAAATCTGCTCTCTCGGCGAAAACAAGCTCCTTGGTAATTTTGCTGATAAACTACTTCTGAATCGGGGGGGTTTCCACGTTATTTACCAAATTCATTCTCTGCTTTCTGTGTTTGTTATAGGTTATACGTGATGAATCCCATTTATGAGTCACTTCAAAACCCGGGGAAGATAAAAGCATCACCACAACCTTGCAGCGTTTTTCTTCCCTGTAACTGTTCTGCCCTCTCTGTTCCCCTCGAAAAAAAGGTGTGAAGATTTCACTCGAAAGCACCAGAGCAATTTCTTCTTTCACACTGCTGTCCTTTCAGCGAGGAGGACACTCCTGCAGACACCGGGGAACCAAAGCCTGACACCTCAGTGCCGAAACCCATCCCACAGCCTTCGGCAAGGCAGGAGTCAGTGAGCAGCACGGGGAGGACAGCAGGCTCAAACAAGCCTGCCGCTTGTTCGGTGATTCAGTCAGAAAGCAGATGTTCTGTAAGAGGAAAATTGCTAACATCTTATTCAGCAAAGATGACTACTTCGGCGCAACAAGGCAGGTTTGAAGCGTCTGGAAACTGCGCTGTTTGGGCACAACAGGCACAGCTGCTGTCTGCTCAGACATACCCAGCTCCACAAGCCTGTCTCGCGCTGTGCCGCAGCCAGGCCCCAGGATTCTAGCTCTGGAGATGAAGTCTGAGGTTCACCCCATCTTTGGCAGTTTCCATCAAGTTTTAGCTACTCACTGCAGCCTCTGAAGGCTGGGCCGTGCCCAGCAATCCCCTTTGGTGCAGCTTGCTGGTACGCCGCTCCCCCCTTCTCTAGTACTCACGCCTCTCCCCAGGTACACTAATTCCAGGAGAGGTGCGTTTCAGCTTGTACACAGTGTACGTAATAAGAGGGGGTCACAAAATAAGGACCTAACTTGGTCCCAAGTCGCTACTTACTGACCACGTGAAGACATACGTTTATGCTGCTGCTCTGGCAGGCTCCGCAGTTTTAGAAGCGAAACACTACAAATACATCCCAAGACAAAGTTATCAAAAAAGTTATGCAGCCCACTCCTATACCTGATAAAGAGCTGAGGACAATAAGCCTACACAAATTTCTCTACATTTCCCCCTTTTTACCACATGTAGATAGAGAAAAGATTTCTTTGAGATCATTTTTACCGCACAACAAGAACAAAAGCAGTGTTTTTTAAAGGAGGATTTCTTGTACTGTAACACTAACTCAAAGAATAGCTTTTTTTTTTTTTTAAAGGACGACTTATCAGCTTGTCTAATCTATCTCCCTGCCAAGCAAGACTATTCCTGACAATAGCAGCACGTTGCCTATTCTTGTTTTAGCCCTGCTGGGGCACAGCCCCCTCTGCACATCTGCATGGCGGGGAGCACGCGGCACCCAGCTGCTCGGCACCGCTCCTGCTGGGTGGACAAACCCTGTCCAGAACCTCCCCTGCACCCCAGCCTGGCAACAGAGCTGGTGAATCCCTGGAAGTCTTCAAAAGACGTTTAGATGTAGAGCTTAGGGATATGGTTTAGTGGGGACTGTTAGTGTTAGGTTAGAGGTTGGACTCGATGATCTTGAGGTCTCTTCCAACCTAGAAATTCTGTGAATCTATGAATTAGTTCTGCAGATGTTCAAAAAGCCCTCTTTTTTAAAAAAAAGCAAAGTACCCTACAAAAATCGTTCCAGTGTTGTGGCTCTGCTTGCACTAGCATGGCTGAAAGGAAGGGCGGCTGTCGCAGCTGGCTGCCCCGTGAGCAGCATCCCTGCTTCCAACCTGGTCGCTTTAAGGGCTCAGCATTTCCAAACGCAGCCCTCGCTCCTTGTCTGTCAGGCATTTCACTCTGCCACCGCTTAGTGGGGAGCACAAACAGGCACCGTTCAGCCCAGGCCTGTCTCTCCATACAGCTCCAGCACGAGTTGCTTTCAGGCACGGAGATGTTTACCTTCCTGACGTCTTTCTGAGGTATGATCTTGCTGCTATTCCAATTTACAGCTTGCTATTCCAATTTATGAGCTTGCATCAGAACCACAACACATGGGAATTGAACACTGTTATGTGATCCTGCATCTGATTCTAAGTGACTTACCTCACCTCACGGAGGGACCTCCTAGGAAAGCAAAGCACACCGAACCTGCACATCCAAAACGATATTCCATCCCTCCCCGCAAAAAGACTGCTTCTGTTAACTAATTGATTTATAAAACCACAAATATGGCAAATGACCCAGAGCACATTCCACGCTGCAAAATAAGGAAGCGTGCAGCCAGTCTGCTGCAAGGCGAGGACGTGGAACAGAAGCGTAAAGATTCTTCCAGCAGATCAGGATCACTACAGGAACGCCTCGTACTGACAGAGTTAAAAAAATAATAATAATTAGACATTTAAAAGGCATCTGTCAGGTAGCTAATTCTCAGTAAATTATTTGTGCCATGGAAAGCATCTTGGGATTACAAGGGCTTTCCATGTTAACACTTACACGCTGCTATGGATGGATGGTACTGAAAACCCAGCTATAAACGCTGGTGTTGAGGCTACAGGGCGCATGCCCCACGTATACTGCTATGTAATACTTTACTGCGATAATTATGCTAGTTATTATATTTATGACTACATTTCCCTGGGAGACTGGAAATGCAACATTCCAAGTAAAGGCTCCACAATTAATTTTTTTTGGGGTGGACAAAACAAAGCCAGCACATTCTGGATTAAGATGACTGAGGGCACTAACCCCAAAACAACCTGCTTACATAAAAACAAAGCAACAAGTTCAAGATGGATCCTAACATAGCAAACCCAGTGCTCTAACAATGAACCATGAGAAAAATTGACAAAAAAAAAAAAAAGAAAAACTTTCTTCAAATATTTTTCCCTTAGTTCAGAAGCCTTCTGTTTCACTGAAAGGGATTTTTTTTTTTTTAAATGAGAGAGAAAGATTGCGAAAGTGTGCTGTAACAGGTTTTTTTGCTGAATTTCAGCTCTATGTTGAAGGAGGATTTCTCACACGTGAAAAGGGACAGGTGTTGTACGAAACACACCGGTGTCCTGCCTGAACACTTCCAGTGTGCTGCTGCAGTCTTTCACAACCACGACTGAACTGTCCTTAGTTTACAGTAGTGGCACAGAAACTAGTGTCGAAACATCGTATTTTTATAAGCAATGCTTACAGCAGGTCAGTTTTTCCAAAAACCACAACACTGAGCTCCAGAATACCTTCAGGTGGCGATCCAATTCGGTGCCCTATTGCCTTTCTTTTTCCTTTCTGATATTGCTAAAGATTAGGCCACTGGATGTTTGAGTGTGAAGTCAAAGCTTCTGTACATGGCACGTTTGTTTGTGTAGTGCTATAAGAATTAGCCCTTTCAATGATTAACTTTGCCTTCAAGCCAAAGAGTTTCTAATAAGCCACCTCGGGGGGTCACCGCTCAGTGTCTATTGCAATGCTTCGATTGAGAAACTTGACATCCGAGCTGCTTTACTGTGCTCAGTCTAAACAGAGACTGCTAACTTAGATCTTGCTGTCCCCCTTCGTTTTTGACCATTCTTTAACCACAAACTTGAAGACGAGTTTTATTCTAAAGCCCTCGCATTTTTGTGCTCATTGGACAATTTTGTATTTAATTGGCTTGAGCTGCTGGGCAAGTATCTGTTTTCTCAACCAGAAAAACAGAAAGCCAATTGTATTTTCATGAATTTGAACCAGAATCATTATCATCTTAAGACTAGAAAAGATGTATTATCCCAGGAAACCCTATGTGCTACAAGGCTTGGTTGAGAAGAGCAAGACTACCCCAAGGAATACTCTCCTCAGCAACTTTTGCAGTATCAGCTCTGAGCACGGTACGTGGATTTCCATTTCTTTTTTTTTTTTTTTTAATTTATTGGAAGATTCAACAAAAACATCTTAGCTTTATATTACTTAATTTTTTCAATCTTACTAGAAATCAGAGGCACTAATTGCAAACTTGCACCTTATTTTATGAGATAGAGAAGCTCCACAAAAAAACCTCAGAACTTGGTCCTTCTGGTCGCCTCCTGGCACCACCCCGTGTGCCGTGCGTTTGGTTCTCAGCCCACTGCACAACTGCAGCGGTCTCACCAGGGACCCTGCGGGCTCTGAACCAGCAGGACTGCACAGATGTAATTCACAGACTCTTCCTACAGAGCAGGAGAGGCTGCTGTTATCATTCAGTTAACATTATCTGGGTAACAAGCACCAGTAAGTTTCCCGTCTCCTCCCTTTTCTATTAAGGAATTAAACTGGGGAGTAAAATGTTTTCCACCTCCACTTTTCTTCCAAGGGGATTAGACAGTGACTATTTAAATACACTGCTCTGAAAACTGATAAATTTAATCCCAGCAAATAAAAGTGAAGACAAGTGCTGCAAGAGAAGCTGTTTTATTTATTTCTTCGTGCTTTCTCACCTTTGCTAGACATTTCCACTGCATTTCACCTTCCTTTCTATACCCTTTCTTCTCCACAAACGTACATGATGTTGCCTGTTTTATGGTCACAGAAACACAAAGCTTATGCAGATTCTTCTGTTTTACCAATTAAATCAATTTGCTTCTTTGCAGAACGTGATCTGGACTCCTATGGAAGTATCACAGCCAGCAGCACGTGTATGTATGCATTTTCTTTGTGTGTTCTTTATTTTTTTCTATTGCAACTAATGATACCTGTCTTGGAAGTTAAATACCCCTACTTCCACCCCCGGCTCACCAACACTTTGAAATGGGCAACCACCTGCAACTCCATCCCTAAAAATCAGTCTGACAGTTGTGAGTGAGGTTTCCTGCAAAGAAAGGAGGAATCCAATACTATAATTTAAGGATAAATGGCTTAATCTGTAATTAATAACCAAAAATTTCTCCCACAATTGAAGCAAAAAGTCCCAAACCAAAGCAAAGAGGGATAAGGAGACTTGATGTTAAGATTTAGGATCATCTAGATAGCTGGTAGAACAGACGCTTTCCTAAACGCTGGGTTTTGAGGACAGGAGGTAAAAATCATGTCTATTGGCTATATCTGAATACCAGACACACCACATCACTGTCTGTGTCTACCTGTAAATGCCTTGTTTATGGAAAGAAAATAGCACCATGGTTTACAGCAGATGAAATAAGCATGTAATGTGCAGGAGCTTGTCTCTGGTGCTGTTATTCTTGCAGCAGCCTGATAAAACCCCATACCTTGTTAGCCACTTGTGATCTGGGTGTCATATTTAACATACAGATCAGAAAGGAGTGAACATCTGCTATCACAATTTCCAAGGCCCATAAGGGAAGAAGCAGCCTGTGCATTATCCAACTGCAAGTTTTTAAAAATTCGTGTTTAAATATCCTCACCAGGGCAATCACTACCATATGTGATTAACAGTAATGCGACGGGGCAGGGAGAGAGTGACTGGTGCTCTGGGTATAGACGTATGGCATTTGGTATTTCCATAGTCCTAGGCCTTCATCATCACAGCATTCATCTCTATCACACTTGCAGTTGTTGCCGTCAGAAACACTCGGGCTTTATTGCAGGATAAAGTATCAGAGCTTTCAGTCACCCACAACAAGTCAAACCTTGGGCTCAGGTACCTAGCACTGATTTATTTTTTTTTATGATACTTTTAAAAGTTTGGAGCAGTCTATGAAAGAATCCCTTTATATCACCAGGCATTTGGAATCTAACTCCACCAAATAACGCAGGTTATCAGTGACAACCAGGCAGCACAGATGAGGTGGTTGTTCTGGAAGGGAGATCAAACTTCCCGTGGCCCAGGCTCTTCTCCCGGTGGCTCCAGACTGCCCAGCCCACGCTCAGTGCCAGCAGCACCACCAGCAGCAGCAGGGTGCTTCGCCCTGCTCAGTACACAACACCCCAGACTTCCTTTCACAGCATACAAGGGCATTTTATCAAAAGCAGTGCAAAGTACTTTCTAGCCCAAGCTTGTTCCACCTAACTAAAAAAGCTGAATTAAAAGATAATTAAATCTGGAACTCCCTTTGTATCTCTTCAGATCATGGTAAAGGGGAAAGAAAACAAGTTATCTTCTTTAAAAAAATATATATAAAGAAATCCGCACTAATTCCCTAGCCCACGTGTTCTCAAACTGCAGCTCCTCGGGGTGTGCAGCGAGGTTTGAAGTCAGCTCCAACTCCCGCCAGCGCCCGTGGGCAGGCAGAACGCAGCCAGGAGCTGAAGTGGCCTGCCCCACAGCTGGCAGCACAAGTGGGAAATAAACTGAAGCCTCTCTGTTAAGGATTACAGCCCTCTACAGACTCGCAGAGTGGAATTACAGCTCATTTTAAACAGACAGGCCACTGCTTAGGACGTCTGTATGATGGGCGCGTGAGCTGAAGTATGGCTGCACATGTCATTTACGATGCCTTTTTGTTGTACCATTTCTCCTGGTGGATCTGGTTGACTTTAGACTTAACTCTCACAGCTGGGGGGGGAGGGAGAGACTTTTTTTTTCCCACCCCCAGATCTTAACCTGATTTAAAGCTGTGTCTGAGCTGGTATCAGAGGCAGGTCTTTCAGAACCACTGTTATCTTATTACACATACATTTACAGTATGAGTAAATTGTTATTCCATGTTGTACTTTCCCTTGTTCTAAAAAGTAATTAAAAAAAACAACCTGGCGTGGCCTTCTCACCAGTTAAAAGAGCTAGAACGAGAGCCCTGCTGACCAAAGTCCTCCCATTGCTCCCCAAGCAAGACAGCAGCGCCGTTCCTCCCTACTCACCAGCAAACACGCCGCAGGACGACCTTGAGTTGGGATATACATAGGAGCAGGGAGGCAACCTCCTCGCCCTGCTCAGTTCTCAGCCCGTTGAGATTGCTGGCAGGGCAGCCAAGTAGCCAGGTGTTAACCTCACAGGGGAGCTTTTTTTTTTTCCCAGTCATAACACAAAAAGGCCCAAAAGACCCATTATGTTTATTTTTAGGTATCCTACTTGAAATAGTCATAGGGCAATTTTTGTTCACTACCAATTGAGACCATTTAATAGAGGATATCCTCAGTTCTAAGGCTCACAAGGCAGGGACTGGTTGTTTTCTTTTTTCCCTTTCTATTTAGAGACCTGCAGTAATGCTTTACTAGATGAGAAGAAATTATCTTTATTTATTAGTCTAGAGGTGGGAGGTTAATAAGTCTGAGAACTTTACAAATAGGGCTGATGGTGATTTACTGGACTTTCAACAACTGCAGAATAACTAATGGCACAGATGAGCCCCATAAACTCTGAAAAGAGCGGGTTAAGTTTTATCTCAACCCTTTTTTTAACTGCTGTATAATCAGCTTTTAATGAGAAGGTCTGCCCCAGCTGTTTACAAAGCTCACATGAGTTAAGGCCCAGGCAAAGAGTAGACAATGACCGACACTTTAAAAAAAATACAAAATCCCTTGCAGTACTTCCCTTCCACAGATGATTCCAAATAAGGAGCAATATGGTCTTCAAAAAATTTGCACAGAGACCCTCTAGGCTCAGGGGAACATTGTATATACGTAAAACCAGCCCTCATCTGCAAGCTGCTGATTGCCTCTCCAAATTCCTCCAGATTCATTCCGTTTCCCTCCTTTCAGACTCAAGAGATTTGAGGCCTGGACCAGCCTAGCAATTCCTACTGTCTGTGTTCATCTAAATCCCCTCTAACACTTTAGATGTTAGATGACACAAATGGCTCGTGAACAATTTCTTATCCAAATTATCAAAAGGTTTCCCAGGTATTTGCATACGTTTAAGCTCAATTCATTTCAAGAAATTTCTACAGCAAGTTTCAGCCTACAGCAACATTGTGTGTTATATATCAGGAAATATAAACTGAGCAGAGACTGTCAAATACAATTCCTAACAACTGTACGAACAGCACCACTAAAGTAAGCTGAGAAGAGAAAGCCAAACAAGAGGGTTTTGTAATATATCAGCAAAACATACTCGAGCCTGTGAGTAAGACAACAGCTGCAACCACTCTAGCAAGATATACACAGTCAGAATGAAACGATGCAGCTAAATTTTCGGAGTGCAATTGATATGGCAGTTTCAGCAAGATTTTTTTTTTTATGAAAAAAAGTGCATGGCAATGCACAATGAAGAGTTAAAAGTACAGCAGGGAGCACTTCGTGAACCACAGATACCTTACTGTGCTCACCACATATTTCTAGGATTCTACAATTTCATGCATGGGTAAATTCATCCAGTAACTATGTTTAGGGAAGCACGGAGTTATCATTGTTTAAGAAACCATTAATTACAAGTGCTAATTGAAGTTACTGGAATCGCCATTCATCTAGCATTAATGCTATCCGGAACAACCCTCAACCTGTTCCATCAGGCATCTTTGAACCTCATGGTTTTCTGGAGCAGAGGAAGGTCATGTAGCCACCAGGTCCCTTTTGGAGCTGTTTCTTCCATTTCTTACAGCTTGTTCCCCAGACCAAGTGGTTGGGTTTGTGTATTATCTCTAGGTCACTTACCAAACGAATAGTGAGGGAAGAAACTTTCAAAGAAGCTTGGTTTTCAACAAGAAAAGCTTTCCTTCTGCTGCACACTGCAGGTCCCTCTCTCCATTTCATTTGGATTTTATGCCATTATTTAAATGAGTTACATACGCACTGAGATTTTGTACAATTACAGGCACAGTAAGGGAGGTGAGCGAAGGCGGGAGTTTCCAACACAGCTCAGTTTTCTAAGAGCTAGCTAACCTCACAGAAGGTCAACCTCCTGTTTATCATTTCTCTGCTCTACCCCCAGCCACAGGACCCCTTTGTTTTTCCCCGCACAAGCACTGGTGCCCTTCTGACTTCATGAGCTGCCTTAGGCAGCAAATCCCTTTGGGGGAGGGAATAAATATGACCACTGAGTTACCCCTTTCAGCAGCAGACATGCTACATCTGCTCAGCTATATTGTAAAAGAACAGTTTGAGTGTAACAGTTTGAGCTTGCAGCTTAAGAGAAAGAAGTTTTGTTTTGAAGGAGCCATGTGCACGATCTGCTTTCCCTTTACTGGAGACCTGCCAAAGAGCTCTGGCCTTCAAGCACCAAGGACAAACGTCAGCGCTGTCCCTCAGAGGCACAGCACAGAACTGACATTGCTGCAGGAGGATAACTACAGTTCCTTAAACTACATCGTGCCACCTAAACCCTAGGCTACTCCGGAGCCTCCAGAGGCTACGGGATTAGGCTGGACACTTCTGGATCTGCATGACAGCAACAGAAACTTCCCTGGGCTGACTCGTGGGCTGTCAGCCTGCCCCAGCTTACCCTTGACACAGGAGAGGCCTCTCACAGCACCTACTGTCTGCATTTGGGCTGGAATAGTGTTTTCCACAGAGAGCCTTTACACTGTTCTGCTCCTTGGCGGTAAAACCAGCACAGAAAGGGAAAATACGACCCTACTTGTTTTTTTGGTTTGGCAAGCAACAGGGAGGTACTCCTTTTTGCATCCCTTACTGTACAAAGATAAAACGGGACCAAAGAAACTGCTCGAGGGACTGGAAGCGCCTTTTGGGCAGAGCTGGCAGCAAGCTGAGCCTGCAGTGCCACTGAAAGGGGCAGCCCTGCTCTCCCAGCCACCTTTGGGGCTGGCACCAGCCCCTTGCTGCCCAGGCTCTTAATTTGCCATCAGATAACGAGGCTAATGGTAGACCTAGAGAGACGTCAAGCACGCACAACCGGGACACGAAGCGCAGGGTACCTGTGCCTGTTGGTGTTACACAGCCTTAAACCCCTCATTAACTCCGTATTGTTAACTAAAATAAAACAGCAGCGTTCCAGTCCCATGGCATCCCTCACACACCTCCTTCCGAGCCTTTTACAAACCTTTCCAGCACATTACCTCACCTGCGCCATCACATGTATTCCTTACCTCCGAGGCACTTCCAAAACGTCCACGCCACCACGCTGCTCTCCTCGCCTCTCACCTCGCCTCCTATTTATAGGCTTCTCCGCATCAGTTACCAGCGCGGCATCCCAAATTCGCCGACTTAACCCCCGTACACCCTCCGACCCGACAAATTTTGCCTCACGACCTCCCTTCGAGGGTCCTGTGGCACCAAGCTCCGGGGTCCCCTCACGGAGCCGAGCCCCGGGGGCGGCGGGGCGCCCCCCCCCCCGTGTCGCCAAGCCCCGGACGGCGACAAAAGCCGCTCGTTCAGCCCCCCCAGCCCTACCTGGCCCCACAGGGAGCTGAGGGGAGGCTGGAGCACGGCCCTCGCCCCGCTCCTCGCACCTCAGGGCGGCCGTAGCCCTTCGAGGAGCGGGGTCCCCCCCTCGCTCCCCGCCGCTCACCTGGAGGAAGGGGCCGGCAGCGGGGCTCGCTCGCCCCCCGGGAAGAGCAAAGGCTGGGGAGGGAGGAGAAGGAGGAGAGGGAAGCCCGGCGCCAACTCGGCCCTGCAGCCGGCGGGGCGAACGCGGCTCCTCCACCAAGTTTCCGGGCGGGGATGAAAGTCGAAACCTACGTGAGAGGAGGAGGCAGCGCAGCCGCCCAGGTGTCTCCCGCCCGGCACGATTCAGCCCGGCACGGCCCTCCCTTAGCCGCCGCCGTGCTCTCCTCCTCCTCCTCCTGCCGGGCCGTGCTGAACCGAGCCGGGCCGAGCCGGGCCGCCCACCCCGCCGGCAGCCCTGCCCCTGCCCCTGCCCCTGCTGCTCCCGCCCCGCGGAGGGCGCCGCGGCGTCGCGGGCACCATTTTGTGCGCCGCCCCCTCAGGGCTCCACCGCCCTCGCCTCCTCTCCTCAGCCACCCCAAGCCCCTTCGTGAGGGCTCTCCTCACCCAAAAAAATATGGAGTTTTCCTCAGTTTTCCTCAGCAGGACACCCTGTGGGGAGAGGTCCCGCTCCCTTGGCAGAGGGCTGTGTTTGGGGGTATGCCCGGGGGCTCCCTGAGGTGGTTCTGCGCTGGTGCTGCTCCCACCGCGGGGGTGTTGGTTCTCCCTCCTGCCACTGCCTTATCCCAAATCCCTGTAAAATGGAAGATGGGGTAACCTGGTGGGTCTGAGGCTGTTGGGAGAGCAGGGAATGAATTACAGTTCAGCCAGTGACACGGCTGGCAGAAAAAATAATAAATAGCATGGGGCGGGGGGGACACGACTGTTCTTGAAATTTACATTTTGCCTTCTGGCAGAAATACTGTCCATCTAAAAGTATTTGGCTTGTTCTTCATCTGTTAGGAAGGCAAATTGTGAGAGCCCCTGTCAGCCCCAGTGAGCCAAGAGCCATAGGGTACCTGCTGCTGCTGCTGGGCGCGTGGTTGCTGTGCTGTTTCTATAAACTGTAAATTTGGCCACCTTCCCATGTTCAGGTGTGGGCATTTACTGTAATTTATGTGCTTTGAACTAGCAAAACATGGAACCAGGAGGGACCCGAAAGTTACCAGATTGTGCTGGCCCAGCACTATGTCCGAGCTAGTAACTCTTCCAAAAGGGAGGGAAGTTGCTGGCCATGTCCTGCGCCTTTCCCTGTTCCAGAACATATTCAGGTCCCCACAGAGAACTAGAATCCTTTCAGGCAAATAATATTAATAATAACTGTAATATCTTATGGATTATCATTGCTTTCAGCATTGGAAATCCTCATATTGCATATGAGAGGGCAGTGCAGTGACATAACAAGGAAGACTGCTTAAACAAGCAGTTCAGTGAATAATAATAAAAGCAGAACATCAAACCATAGTTTTAGAGGATTTATTAGCAATGAAGTCTTTGTATATTAATGTAATATGCAGTGCAGGTGGAACTAGCACACACCTGTCTCCACGTTGTCATTAGGCCTGTCCCATACCTGCTGAAGTAAACCTGAATAAAAAGAGGAGTGAATGCTTCTGAGGCCTTGAAAACACCTCCTCTGTGTCAGCAGGCACTAGTAGTTTGTTGTTTGGGTAAGACTATTGGAATGATGTTGGTCCGGAGTGAAGAGTTAGCTTTTTATTTCAGGCATGGACCAATCTGGCTCAATTTCTTAATCCTGCTTTAAATTTTCTGTATTATTTTTTGGGGGCCTGTTCAGCCCCCAAAGAAAAAAAGAGGAGATTGAGAGGGGATTTTATCAACCTCTATAAATACCCGTTCAAAACCCACCTGGATGCCATCCTGTTGAATGTGCTCTAGGTGACCCTGCTTGAGCAGGGGGTTGGACTAGATGGACCCTGGAGGTCCCTTCCAACCTCAACCCTTCTGTGAGATGCTTTACAGCATAGAAAATGTTTCCTCTTTTTGTATATTGAAGTCATCAATGGAGGAGCTGTGAGCCATGTTAGCTTATGAGAGGATACTTGTTTTGCAAAGGCGAGCCCATAGTACATGCACCATATTTAATAAAAATGTAACAAGGCCCTTTATTTATTTATTTATTTATTTACTTATTTATTTTATTATTATTTAGGTTGGGAATCCAGTGGAGCCAAGGTACCCCATCAAGGTGTCCTCTTTCCGTGAGACCCATCTTACCATGGGATGCAGACTGAAAGGTATTTTTTGTAGGGTTTGACTGAGAATTGTGATCTAGATTAGCAAAGACTCTGGTTCAGCTACGTTAATTGTTTGTTAGGATTTTCTCTGAAGCACTGAGCCGGACATGGCTAGGAAGGATGGGAGGTGTTATATCCTCAGACCATTCAGAATAAAAAATACTCTGGCGGTGTAGTGTCTTACTGCTCTGAGACTATGCAATTAAGCTCCTGGTGAGGGAGGGAGCAGCAGCCAGCGGCAGGCTGGAGCTGTGTAACTAACTGCTGGGGGTGTTTTGCCAGCTCACTCTGGAGCACCAGAGCCTGGTGTAGGGGCATCAGACTGTGCCTGCATGTCAGCCAGCCTCTCAGAGCCTGCATTCATTAAGCCAGGACTCATGTGTATTGAATGCTGGCTTGCACGCAGACAGGCAAATGCTTAAGCTGTGCTTTGTGGAGCTGAGATTTAAGCCTTAGTGCAGAACCAGTCTCTCCTTCATGCAGCCTACAGCTTGGTTGGTGAGGACAGGAAATGTGTGGGTGAGCTTGGGGTATTGGGAAGGCAAACCCCAGGGAAATTTCAAATGGGTGCAAGCCTTTAAAATTAGGAGCTCTGTCTAGTTAGCACTCGCTGGAGATTTTTATCGTGTCTGATGACCTGTTTTTCTGAGTGGACAATGTGCCCACATGTAATTAAGATATGGTGAAAGTTTATTGTATAAGTGTGCTGGAATTTTGGTTTGGCTTTGCAATAAAGGAATCACTGAGTCACGGTTACTAAATAGACTCATGGAGGATGCAGGTCTCTGCTGCAGAGCTAACACAAATGTAAGGAACTGAAATTAGTTTCTTCCCTAGTCTAGGCAAAAGCAGCCACGCTGTAAATAATGCTGTGGCTTGATGACATGAAGCCTTTGCAGTATTACTGGTTCCTAGCAGCTCCTTGTTCCTACCCTTGCTATGCAGCATACCATCCCTTAGTTGCGTCTGCAGCTTTTTGTGTGGCTGAACCATGAACCAGATCAAAACACTCATGCATCTGAACAATAATCCAGGTGAAAATATTCAAATGTATTTTAAGTTATATAAACATATTTAAAATATATTCATGTTTGTTTTCTTAAGCCAGATAGATCAGTTCTCCAGTAATCTAATTTATAACTTTGAGGTTATGGATGAATTTTATTCTTCTCTACTGGTACAGAGGCAAGCGATAGTGAAGTAAAGTGGCTAAATATGAAACCAGTGAAAAAGGATTTGTACCTCAAACCACATCTGAATATTCATTCTGCAAAGCATAAATTGATTGCTTTACTGGATTGTTGTGCTAGCAGTTAATGTGTTGTGTGACTGAATAGCAGCTCAAGCTGTTTCAGATGTAAACAGTTTGCATTAAAAACATCTCAATGATTGGGAGAGAAATAGTTTCTCTGGGAACACTCAAATTATAACTTAATTTAACCTTACGTTGAAGAGAAGGTCAATGTGCTGTCTCTTTCCTGGCATCTCTACTCTCTAGTGCTGTTGCTTTTAAAATACTAAAGTCATCCTGGGGAACTTGAAGGCTTTTTTTATTAGCAGTTCTGTTAATTTACTTGTGATTTATTTATTTATTTTTTTTGATAACTGAGAAGACTCCCTGTGAAAAAAATACAACAGTCTCAGTTCCAGCTTTCATCTGCTCTGACTGCTGATAATTCCCTGCCTGTGATGGTATAATTGGTACAGTAACCACTGTGATGCTATGTTCAGGAAGATGATGTACCTGTGCAATGCATACATCATGGTTGAAATGATACCTTCTGATGAACAGAACTACATATACTCTGTAAACATGCAAATATATTTAGTTAGTTTTTTTATTTATTTGTTTCATGTCAAGATCTAGAAAGCATTTCTTGTCAAGTCTGAAGACAGAAAATCCATATGCTAATAACAGGAAAAGTAACAGTAGGAAAATTGAACAGAGAAGCAAAATCCTGTCACGCAGAGGTTTAAAGGTTAGTTTAATCCCATTACTGTTGCATAAAGCTTGGTAATCTTGTGTGTTTTTATCGTCCTCTTGTGGGAAGGTACAAAGAATAAATGACTGCACAGGATTAATTTGAGACCCAACTTTGATGTTTCATCACAAGCAAACCTAAATTCCCAACCCACACACAAGAATGTAAACACAATTTAAAAAAAAAAAAAAAAAAACAACACACATCCCACAAACAAGGAGAGAGAATCATCCCAGGAATTTATGATTAAAAGGCATGGAATCACCCTTTTGTGGAAAGCAGACCAAGAGAGGTATGCATGCAAGAAGGCACGGTGGATTCTGGTAAATCCAAGGTGCTGAACATATTACTTGCATTCATCCCCCTGATTCTATAGTGCCTTAGTGCCTTTTGCTCTCTTTTATTTGTTTGCTCTAAACTGTCCTTACATATGCATTGTACATGCCCAGGTAGTATTTAGTGTCCCATTGTTTGAACTCTACACATGGGAACAAGTGGAGTACTAAGAAATGTAGCATAAATATCTTGTATTTGTTATCACTAAATTAGGGCTACTTTATATTACTTTGTGGTGTTTTATTAACAGTGGCTAGTTATTAACACTGTCAGGTTGCTTTATCTGATGATTCTGTAAAATGTTTTTACTACAAGTGAGCAGATTAATTCCTCGCTTACAGAAAAGTGTCTGTTGGCAGATATAAAGAGGACGTCTGACTTTTCTTAGGACAGGAGTAGCCCAGCTAGCTTTTAACAGTGGAACAGCTAATGTAACACATGCACAACGTACATGAAACAAACAGCTTTCCTAATTTACTGTTTTGAATAATGTTGATGGCTATTTCATACTCTTTAAAGAATATTGTTGAAATGTTGTGTCTGCTTTTTAACCAACATGTATTTTTTTCATCACAATGTTTCTCTTGCAACGTTTTAAATAATACTTCAGAAATGTAGCTTTTATCAAGAAAGATACTGTAGCAACAAGTAAAATAGCATTTCATTACGCCAATTTTCAGGTCCCACTGAATTTTCCATTATTACTTCACATGACTAATTTGATATTTTGTAGTGCTGAGCCCCCCTGTTTTGACTCCCTTGTCTTATTAACTTCGTGGAGGGGGGGAAAAAGAGATAAGGTACCATCAAGCTTCTAGCAATTATTTTTATAAAGCAAGTACGGTGCTGAATTTTCTTCATAGTCCCTAACTTGGACACTGTTCTTTTAAAACTGATAACAAATACTAATTAGACTTGCTGCAATTCAAGAACATTATCTGCATAATTGCTTGCCTGGGAGGTACTGCTGCTCTCTGATACAGTATTGGTATTAACTAAAAAGTGTGTTTCTGTCAAATTTAGAATTTGACCTCTAGCCACTTTTGTTCTGTTAACTGTTTAAAAACAACCGCTGACTTTCTGCTGCCTGTGTTTATGAAAGCTGTTTGCTGCTTGGACAGTTGGGTCAGAGGAAAAAGCTGTGTATGTCAAGGGGTATTATCCTGTCCACTAACAGGAAACTCTTCCCCTCCAAGTCCCAGGCGAGGCCGTGGCTTGCTGCGGTTTTCCTGCAGGAGCAGGAGTTGCAGGAAGTCTGCAGCACCGCTCCTAAGTGCGTGCAAATCCCCCGCCACCGTGGTTTGGTTGTAGCAGGAATGAGAGTGTCTGACTTGAGGAGTACGGAGCATAGAGTGATATTTTGGGAACATGTTTGGGTCTTGCTCTTTAATTATTTCCAGGTAACAGAGCATCTTTAATTCTCCAGAGTAAGTGTGAAATAATCTCTAGATAGGAGTTCTGGGGATTTTAATCACGATTCATTTTGAATTCTCTGCTAGTGGGTGTGCTCTGGATAACCACTGCACCATCCTGCAAGGTTATTTCTAGGACAGAGGCTGCTTGTGTTCTGCTTGGCCATGCAGTGTTCTCTGCTAGGAAGGCATCTACATGTGGAAAACCAAACCAGAGATCCCCTTGGTTCATGCCCTGACAATGTATTTTGGGAGCATTACCTCTCTAAGTGTTTTGTAGTCTATTTTTGATGGTATTTCGTGCAGCTGTACAGATGCAGCCTGCACCTGGATTCAAGAAATTACTGCAAGTCCTACGTGTGAAATTAGGCATCATCGGTGGGACGATGTACTTTGGTACTTTAATAGCTATGCAAAGTATGTTAAGGAACAAAAATTATGGACCTAAAGCCCATGAAAACTGGCAGGTTACATTCATCAGTTTGCTATCAAGAGCTTACTGCAAACACAGCAAAAGCGATGTAAGGATTTATGTAGAAGATAACTCCATAGTGATTCCTCCATCGCTGCCTGACTTGCACCTACTTCTGGAATGGAAGAGGAGACTCGGTGCCTTCTGTTTAACAGCACATAGCACCATCCTTCAGGAGAGCAGAGCAGCATCTTAACATCTGGCTGTTAGACACACACAATGTACTGGGACACCTTGGAATTTGTTTTCTCCCCGAAGCGTTCGGTTAGCAAAATTGCCCCCAGAATACCTTTGATATTTACAGCAATCAATTTTTAATAACAACAGTATACACCTGAAAGGCTTGAAAAGAAGAATGTGGGATGGCTGCAAGTCTCATCAAGATCTAACACAGATCTGGACCCATACTAGTTAAACAAACTTGTTCTTCAAAACTCTGTTCAGGCAGTGTGACATATTTCTAACGAGATTGTTCTGACTACACCAGGAAAAAGCCATGTCCTGGGGAAAAACAAGATACATCCAAAAGTAATTGGTATGTGCTGCAGCTGTAGCTCTGTCGAGAAAAGCAGCTAAATATAAACATTCCTAACTGAATGGGTGGGAAGCCAAGACTGCCTTGCAGCAAAGATACCCACTAAATAGGATTACCTATTAACAAGATAATCCACAAAAAATCATTTTGCCACAGCACCTAGAAAAAGATCAGAGAAATAAGCAACATAGCCACTTAAAGTACAATTATACCATTAAATGGACTTTTCAGAAAAATGCCCTTGTGGCAGCTGGTGCGAGTTC